GTCTCAACTACCTGACGCACTCAGCCAGCAACACTCGTGCTCAACACCTCGAATCACACAATACCGTCTACTACGGTCAACACTCCTGACCAACCCGGCCACCACCATCCGAGATTAATATCCGAATCACATCAGACCATCGCATTACGGTAACCACTCCTGACCAAACTCGGCCAGCACCACCTGAGATCATCCACCGATCCATGAGATCATCCACCGATCCCTGAGGCTCCCATTTAGTCTCATACTTATGAATCACGTTCAGACGTTATTGCTCACAACTCATAACTCATATACATATACACCACACCTACTCTCAAGGTCGTCACCCTTCGAGCTATCGGTATGCAGGGAACCCACTATCCCMTKGAGAGAACCACCATMCCTCAAARTATAKGTAGGGGACCCACTATCCCCTAGAGAGAACCACCATCTCTCGAGTATGCACAGGGAATCCACTATCCCCTAGAGTGAACCACCATCTCTCAAAACATATGCAGGAAATCCATTATCCCCTGGAGCAATAACTCTGCAACGTGCATCATAAGCACATGTCGACCAGACCTACCTCCTGTCGTATCACCATGACATTTCCTATCCCGTAATATCATCTCAACCATGACCAATCACTAGGCCATCCGAAATAACCCATCACACAGGGTGTTTCCACTCGAATCTCTAGGAAAAAATAGACAGTTCTAACTCACATCAAACTTTTATTCCTAGACTCCCAGAAATAGACAAGTCCTAACTTACATAGAACCTCTATTTTTTTATGCTCAGAAATAGACAAGTCCTAACTCACATAGAACCTCTATTTCCTACCAACGCATCCCTCATGACTCACCGGTCAGACCATAGGAACTCCTCATCCTATAACTTATACCTCATGACATAACCCGTCATACTATAACCTGGAGCAATAACTCTGCAACGTGCAGGAAATCCACTATCCCCTAGAGCAATAACTCTGCAACGTGCATCATAAGAACATGTCGACCAGACCTACCTCCTGTCGTATCACCATGACATTCCCTATCCCAGAATATCATCTCAACCATGACCAATCATTAGACCATCCGAAACAACCCATCATACAGAGTGTTTCAACTCGAATCTCGAGGGAAAAATAGACAGTTCTAACTCAGATCAAACTTTTATTCCCGGACTCCCAGAAATAGACAAGTCCTAACTTACATAGAACCTCTATTTTTCGATGCTCAGAAATAGACAAGTCATAACTCACATAGAACCTCTATTTCCTACCAACGCATCCCTCATGACTCACTGGTCATACCATAGGAACTCCTCATCCTATAACACATAACTCATGACATAACCCGTTATACTATAAGAACTCCCATCTTATAAACACAACATAAGAAAACACATCTTATGAAACTAATTAAT